GTGTGCTAAATTGCATTACAAGAGTTACAGCACTTTTCCGGGACTTGTTATACAAGTACTTCTGGCCGTGCACGGGTAGTTTTTTCGACTTTAGCCAAGTCGAGCCAAGACAAGTCTTCAAAAACAAAATGGCACGTTTACACGCGATCGACAATTCACGCATAGTAGTTCACGTTCGGCCATAGTTGGTCAGTTTCGATGTCATCGCTTGACAACTCGAGCGAGTTGGAGGAACGAATTTTGACTCGCATGCGAGGGTAAAATTAGGACCCCTATCAAGTAGCGCCAGAGCGACATGTTTCAGCAGACGATAGCGATAGCGATGAATCTTATGAACCGCCACCATCGCTACCACCAGCCACACGCATGAAGCAATTCTCCACAGAGCAGTAGGCTGACGGCATTTCGCGCGCCGCAGCAATCACAATCAAAGCTCGCGTGCTTCTTGAATGCGCCCGACGCTACGGGAATCAGTCTACTGTTGAAACCTCGTGCGTATGCACAACTGCACCCATTTCCCTGCAGACGCGTTACTCTATGCAGAGGCCATGAAAGCAGCGCCACTTTTCATGCTGTAGTTCTTTTACCTTGTAAGCCACATAGAAACAAATGAAAATGAACAATAACATACATATTCGAAATGTAAGCCCTTATACTGGTGCGCTTTAAATAATCACAGCAAAGTTATTAGGACTTCATAATTGTGTTTTATGGCTCTGGCGCTAGGGGCTCGACATTCCGGTTTTGGTTACTTTTGAATGCGATTTAAAAATATAAATTCTACTCAGATCGCGAAAAGTATGATGTCACCTGTCACTATAATTCATGCTCTTTTATTTTACACTGGAATGTAATCAACCATTCAGGCCAGTTGTGGGTTCCTTTAAATGGACATTAAAGAAAAAAATTATGTTTGGCATATTAATAAATTACAATTTCACAATACTGCAAACATCACTCTTACAGCTATGTGACGCTTTGAAAATGAGAAGACGTATGAAAGAGAAATGTGGGTTGCGACACCACATTGAAATTTATGCACTAAATGCTGCGATGTCATAGATTTTGACAGCGGTGGCTAGTTCATACATAGTTCCTAATCTGTAAATATAAAGTACAACATCCTCTGGGCGGGCCATAGACTTAATATACCACTTCAGGAAATTTAGTTCATCCAGTGTCGCCAGAGTATGAAAAGTACTCTATGAAATTCGTGACATCACGCATGAAGATTACTGCGCGAAATTTAAAAATGAAATTTCGACCTTCATTTTGTCATACATTATTCAGCATATGATGATGAAATTGATGACATTAGAGTTCTCAGAATGCAGTTTATCAATCCAAAGTGATTCATTATTTCACTTAGTGTCCCTATGCAAAGCTGTTAATAATTGCTTGAGGTGATGGACAGGTCTGCTGCATGTCAGACATGTTCCTGCAATTTCTTGAGTTCGGTGAATTGCCACTATATATACCCAATCAGTCCTGTACAGTGGCTGTACATAGGCAAATGGTTGTGAAAGTGCTTTGTTGGAATCATTATTGGTGTTCTGCATTGAGAGAATTCTTGGTGTCATGCTGTAGAGTCTGTAAACCCTGCCACAGTGTCTCTTGTGTGGCCTGGAGTGTCAACATGTGTCATATTCTTTTGGTAATCCTTTGTAGTGCGATTGCTGTGCAAACCTGACTTTATAAGCTGCACAGTTTTGTCAGTGTACAAAGGTAGTGCCATTTACTCTATGTGATTACTCAGCCTGCTTCATGAACTTAGTTAAAATGGATGGTTGGACAAGTTGATTTCGCACTGCTTGTTTGCATTAAAAAATTGAAGGGTTGTCAGTTGCATAGGAGCTGCACATTTAAAGACAAAGTTACCCTGGAGGAGAGATAGATCTAGGGATGCCATGTTAAGCATTTTATCATAATACTGGTACCACAGCTTGTAAAGCAGCCACTGCGGTGGCCCAGTGATTGTGGTGCTCAGCTGTTGAAGTGGAGCACACTGGTCTGATCTCAGTTTTTTATGTGCAGATGGGAATGGTCAGGACATGTGAGATTTTGTTACATGGACCTCTGTTACCAAGTGCCTGTGTAGTGATGCTCGTCATTTTAACTACATTTGCAGTGCCTAGCATGATGGTCCTATGTTTCCACTATGTTGACAATAAAGCTTTGATAAGGTGGGGCATAAAAAATTAATTAGCTGGACAAAGGCATGAAATGCAAGTCAGCATGCTCAGTCTGCTTTTGCTTCTGCTTTCAGCCGGAAGGTTGTGGCAGTATGCAGTCAAAAGTAGTAAAATGTGCTCATTTGAGTTACAGTATGTGCTGTAAAAAGATGACTGAATTAATGTTGTTATAATAAAGGGCATAGGGTAGGCCCTATACATTCCATGCATTTTTGGTCATTTTGAGATACCATTTTCTCAGGGACTAAAAGCGATAGTCTCATAATTCATTCATAAATTTCTTTCTAATTTTCTACTCCTTTAGCTGAAGCAGATTAACTGAAATCTGACTAATATTAGATTTTTTTAGGAATTTCTAACAAAGATCTACATTTTGAGTTGATTGTCAATAATAAATTTGTAACACTACTGTAAAATATATAATTTCAGTTCTTCTTCAGTAGCTGTCTGCATTTATGCAGAATACAAGAAAAAAAATAATCAACTGGTTATCTTGGAATGCATAGGAAATTGTGGTACCTGAGTAATGAAGTACATGGTTTTGTGATAATCGAGTTTATAGTTGGAAAACAGCTGAAAAACAAACAGGCTTTGTCACGAACACGGTTCAATTATTTTATTTAGTAGCTACAAGCTCGTTAATCATTTTCAGAGTCCATTTTTCTCTTTAAAGCTTCTTGTAATGCTTGCCTTGCTTCTTTTGTGAGCTTTCATCCACCTTTATCCGCATTGTATCGTTGAGTGTTGTCAACGTTTTCCATTAAATTGACTGTAGTTTGGCCAGGCTTCAATCCTAACTATTTCAGAATTTTGGCTCGTATGGTACTACCATCACTAAATGCAAGAACAATATCCAATGTTGCAATCCTTAAGATTTTGAACCTAAACAAAGACAATAAGGACTCTGCGGTGTAATTCTCATCAATTCAGCACTTTCACCGGGGAGTTTGCTCGTGCTATTCAGTCTGATTGCATCACAAAAGTAGTAACAGTCATGTCCTTTAGAGCATACCCATGGTCATCGTGCACGTGATTCACCTCAAAGGAAGCTGAAGAGGCTGAGAGATTCATCGATTAAGAACCTGCTGGCTGAGTGTGCAGCACCTCAGTATGTCACTGACATTTAATCATTGTTATAAGAGAACTGTATGGGTTCCTGCTAAATTCACACTTGCCGAAAATCTTCTTCATCCTCGGCATACAAACTTATAGACCAACACGACAAACACAGGGTGTAGTGAAGCTTGGAGTGGGAAGTGTTTGAAGCGATGCGCTTCATAGTTTAAGTGGGAATATAAAAGCGCACAGTGTCTTCGGACTGCCTTATAGAAGTTACCTGACAATTTCCTGTACACATCTGACTCTTGACAAGCATTTTGGCTTTTGTATGTGAAGTTTTTCTTGAGAAAATTTGACCGCAAGTATCGACTGCATACGAGCGGCTTGCCCTAGTGTGCGTTTGCACTAATTACTTGCTTTCGGAAAAACTGGTGTTGAATCACAAAAATGCTGTTAAAGAAAATCACAAATGCGTAAAATATGCACAAAGGACACCCTTTGCAAATTGCTGAGGAAAAAAAAGGCATATTTATTTTCGAAGTTCGTCCTTTCCTGTGCCATTAACCTATTAGCATATTGCCAGGTTTGATACATGAATATTATCATTTTAACATGGGAAACAATGCAAATAGGATAGTAGTTTTCGTGGCAGGTACAGTTTCAGTTCTTGATTGCTCTGCTATTCATTCAGTGATTAGTTCATTACTAGTAATATACTTTATTTATGACTCAGTGTTAATTTGTATTTGGGGTTTAAATGTACTGGGATGGCCAGAAGTAAAGGTGATTGAGTTTGGCTAATTTTTCTTGATATGGAATGGTGTTCTAGCTTTTTGAAGTTATTCGTAGACTTCTTGTAGAGTTACTTAAATGTAAGGCCATATAAAGTTGCATTCAGATAAATTCTTTGAATGTAAGGTTACTGTTAAATAATCTGTATAATGCTATTTTATCATTTTCTAGAAACAAGTATTTAAGATCCTGCATTTTGGAGGATTCAGTGTGAAAATTAAGATGGAAGTTTACATTAAACTTCAATTAGCAGATATGACATTGTTTAGTATTGCAGGAGATGACATGCAGTAGACTGTTTAAGACCTGAACCATGAAAGACCAAGAATAATTATTAGAATTAATGTGCATTAGTATAGGATCTGACTGTTGTGACTTAGATAAGCCTACAAAACTAACAATAGTTTATGGTAATAGTCAGCCTCTTAGATTTGTTCAAGGGTAAATTTTGCATAAGTCAAGAAGACAGGGAATGTTGGCCATGAACTGGAAGTCAGATGGGTAAAACTGGGTCAGCGATCATATGGCAGCACTCTCAGTCATGAGAGGTTGATAACTGATATGTTCGAAATGAAGCGTGTGCAATGAGTATATTCTACCTGTACATATTTTGTAGTACTGGTCTATTGGGTTGAAACCTGAAGCTTGGTAAAGTATTTTGGGAAGCTGAAATAACTGGTTTATTAGCAAAACAGAATGGCTGCCAAAGGACGGAAAAGACAGAGGTACATTAGGGGGTGTAATGATATTACAAAATTTGTAGACATATATGGTGGAGTCAGGGTAAGTAAAGATCACTGTAAGATGCTTTCATTCAGCACTGGACATGAGATAGGCTGGTGATTAAAAGCCAGATGGCAAAGAATACACTATGCCATATTTTGTACTGTGAAAGTTTTTTTGCTTGTGCTCAAGGGAGCTTCTGCTAAAAACAGTGTTGACTTGCCTTTTTTCCAGGATAGCTCCGAAGCGGAGGTTTCAAAGTCTCACCTAGCTCACGCAGATGCAAGTATTCACATCATGTTCGCATGTTTTGTGCAAAGAACCTTCTGTCATGTCAATTCACTTTGTGTGTACCTTACTATAGTTGTAGGGCATACACGCTGCAATACTGCATGCGTAGGATTTTGTGGCCTCAGAAATAAGGTTGCTTATCAGCAAATATAGAAACTGTTAAGGGCTCAGTTTTGTGTTGATAGAATTGGCAAATAAGTCTTTTCCAAGTCATAGTTTATATAGAAAAAATGAATGCTTGACTTTTTTTATGCTGAGATTTGGCAAACTGTGTTGTGTGAACTAGTGCTTGAAATTGCAGCACACATTTCTAAACATGCTGGCATGAAATCACTTTTATCTTTGGACACTATGCATAATCACTTTATTTACTTGGCTTTCTTTCAGTTCATAGAGGGGACATGAAATTATCTATTTGGAGAGATGACTGAAAATAAACCACGCGTTTCAATATTAAAATGGGGAATGAAATAGGCATAAATTCTGCAAGTTCAGCTATTAGGCTTGGTGTCATACAGAATGTTGGACAAATTGTTGACGAAGATGGGCTTACCCAGTGAGCAACACAATGTTGGTGCAGTTTTGTTTAGTATTCTTTGGTGTTGAACTGGCATAACCGCAGAAAGAGTGGCATAAAAAGGGACGTGTAAATGCTCTAAAATTTCTAACAACAAATCAAAGATACATAATTCAGTTCGGCACTTGACTGTATTAGTATTTAATAGACTGAATATATAGCAGAGTTTTTTTTTTTAATTACCAGCAGCAATACGCACAAACCCACGAGAGGCTAATCAAAACATCAAGGCAATCTTTTTCATTTCCCTTTTTGGACTATCCATATCTAATTCAGTACCTGAAGTATTACACTGTCGTGGGTACAGTACTCAGATGTTGTACAGCTGTGCTAATTGTGCCTAAGTGCCACATTTGGAACTTAGTGTGCAAATGTGTACCAGAAGTATGCCCTTTATTGCATGCTCAAATGGGCGCAAAACATGCAGCATTGCAGATGTTTGAGCTTCATGTGCTATAGTGAGAAAGCAGATGCAATGTGACGCACTATCATGACATTGTGAGCTTGCCTGTATGGCATTACTAAGAAAAAAAATTTGTGTAGTGCAAGTACATGGGGGACCACTCTAGCTAGTTCGCATATAATTTTAAAAGTTGCAGTTGTGAGCTGCCCTTCAGAGGAGCACTGACATCAAATTTACTCATGTCAAGATTTTTGCGTCAACGAGCAGCTATCGACACCCTAGTAGCGATTCGTGATCTATAACACAGCTGAGGAACTTTTATTGATTTATATCACTGGTATCTAGCACGATTCAAAACGGCTGGCAAACCCGCCATTTTTAGCACTGGGAGCTCTACCTCGCGGTCACCTCCAGATCACGCCACAGCTAACCACTTCTCTACAAAAAAGAGTCACGTCAACCTCAGCTGCGCTGCAAACATTTCATTTGTTAGGTCATGCCTTGTCACCTGCTTTGTCGTCGTCGCCTTACAAAATGTCAACTAGGGTTGAATACGACTGGAATCGCGGCAATTTGCGATGTCACAAATAATTTTTGCTTTGATCGACCCTTAGCAGAACAGCGATTTCAAAATGTACGCCATTACAAGCAGCAATGAGGAGGTGGACGAGGATGCCTGCTTCGGCCATGCTTTCTCTCAACTTTATCTAAATTAGCTATATTAATGTGTTTTGGCGTGCACAGCATTCAGGTATACGCAAGGAGGTCAGTGGAATATAGGTAAGGGAATGGGCATCAGCTGAGAAATAGAATACATTTTCTGGTTGCCAGGTTCATCTTCGTGCCTCCAGATGGCCCCACCTATCCGTCCTCTGATGGTTACGGCGGCAGTAACCCGGTGTACCTTTTACACGGACACAAAGATGTCTACGGACGAACTAAAATTCACTATCAACGATACCTGCATGTTATTTGTTAGTGATGATATCTGTCTATACGCTACTCCACGTTGATAGCTTGTGGTTGTGCTGGCGCGTAACATACATGTTATGAAAAGACACCCTCATAGGGCTTTTCCCGCGCTTCGATTCAGACGATTGCAACTCACAACGGTTCCCCGACAGGCTGACTGATAGCACACATTGAATCATGCTCTTTTCTTTCTCCGATCGTTTATGGGTGGTTTGCATCTTGGTAATTTCACGAAATCATTCAAAGTGGTGCGACGAAGATCAGACATGAGGAGTGAGAGCGTTTCCAGGCTTCAGTGCTACTCGGCGCCACGATAAGAACACTTAGATCGTAGATTTCAGCATCGCCACTCAGGATGGTACGTGTAGAATGTATCTCACCGAACACGTAGCACTAGTGTCGATGTCGCAGGGGAACTCCGTTGTCCACTAAGTTCTCGTACACTGTTTGCCATCGAAATGAAAATTCCACGCGACGGATATGATTCAAATTTGGCCAAGAGGACCTACTCACGCTGAGCAATCGAATGAAGAGCACATTTAGATTCTGAAATTTGATGTCAGTGTTCCTTTAAAGGGTCCCCCACAACCCCGTGTTAGAAGATAAGAGGGTGGTTTCTTGCTGCCCTTCACAACACGATGCATCCTCCTCGCCACTTATTTCTTAAAAGCATGTAAACAATGTCAGCGATAAGTGCTAGAGCCTGTCAGGATTTCCTGCGTCTCGCCTACACTCTGTTATCACCGCTTGTACAGTTGTAAACACACAGAATGGAGTGTGATCGGTGGATTCTCCATGATATTCATGTGAGACAAGAAAAAACGGATGAGTGGCTGTATGGCAAAGCAGTGCAGGAGACAAGTCACGTTTTATATTTAGCGTATATGAACTATTCGAGAGAATGCACACTATAGACGTCCTGGGAAGTACTGTCTGCATCACAGAAGTGCGCAAGAAGGTCAAGAAATATCAGGAGATAATATTGCATTCATTTTTTTGTTTTGAGAGTCTGGTGAGTGGCCCTTCAAAACCTGTTTGATAACTGCTACAAGTGGACAAACAAATTGTTGAATCCATTATGATTTGAAAACTCGAGTGAGATTTTGTGGGCCCCCTTCATGTGTCCTGTGCAATAATCCTCTACTGTAGGTATCACTGAACTTTACTAAAGAGAGATACAAAAAGGGTAGCTTGTTCTTTTTATTGCTGTCCTTAGTAGAGTTTTGCACTACCTACAGTGATGTACTATTATCACCAACTAACCTGATCAAGTCAAGCAATAAAAAAAGTGGAATTTTATGGGCAAGCTTCTTTGTAAAATGTCACTGAATTGTATAAATTATGCTTTTCAGGAATAAAATGCTGTAAAAAGTTAGCACTGTGTCTTTTGTATCATTTTTCATTTTCATTTGCCCATGTGCTTGTGCTAAATTAAGTTTTTCTCAAGAATGCACTACTTCATGTATGCTTTGCATGGGATAATAATGAGGTGTTGTGAGCACTGAAACTACATGTACAGAGTGTTAAAGGGATACTGAGCAAAAATTGGAAAAACTGACAAAGCTTCGAAAGTCCACTTGGAAGATGCCACTGTTTGGATGAACAGAGTTTATTTCCCGTATTTTTTAACAGTTGGCTGTATTTTTGATGGACTGTGAGCGCACGGCGGCTACTCGCGAGTGCGAGCAGTGACGTCAAACTCACCGAGGTACATGCAGAATGCACATGTTCTTGTCCTCCTCTTCCTTTTCTCCTGCTGTCCTTTCACTCTACTCTTTCCCTTCTACAAAAGCGCCGGGTCTTTGCCCCAGCTGGAAGCATTGTTCGCTGCTGTTGTTGTTCATACCAGTTCTGAGAACCGAATTGGAAGATGAGTGGGTTGGGAGACGCGGGCGATAGCAGGCATTGTTGGCTTGCCAGTTTCTGGTGAGTTTGAAGTCACCCAATGTCACATCCTCTAGTTCATGACGCTGCTGCTAGATGCGACAGTCTGTGAAAAACGCATTACATTCATTATTTTCCCATAGTTTATGCTTGGAATGAAGGTTGTCTCTATTGATTTTAGGATCCCATCTATCAATTTGGCTGAAAATATTGGTGGCAAAAATTTTGTTCAGTATCCCTTAAGGTGGCATCCCTTCAGCTATGTTTGTTACACCTTGTTTGCTTTCTAAAGTAAGCTCTCTTTGATTTTCCTTTTTTCTGCTAGATTCTTGTGACTTGTAGGCAATCATTAGCTTACAAATTCTACCTTTTAAAATATAGAAAGGAAGAATGCTATGCCAGTGATTGAGATGTATGCAAGGCAACTGTTATGTGTTCAAACCTGCATAACATCAACAAACTGGATTGCACAGCACAGGAAAATGTTTTTGGCTTCTTTAATTTACCTTTTACCCAGCTTACTAAAAAATCTGCCCAATGTTTCCCTTTCTTTGTTGACCTATTAAGACATTGGAACAAATGCATTTAATGAGTGTTTCCATTATTCAGCATCTTTTATAACTTCTGAGCAGGGATGCAGGGCACTGTAATGAAATTTATGCCCTGTCCACTTTCATGCATTTGTCTGGGTTAGTTGCTTAAGAGACCCTACGACTCAAATAAGCATGTCATTTTCATGACTTCTTCTGGTACTGTGTAACACATTTTTATCATTGCACCAGTGGCTCTGTTGAAAACAGGTCTTATTTTAATGAAGAAACCACCCTAATTTTGGACTACAGCCACAAATGACAGCTATTTCTGTGATTGGAAGTAAGGTTTCATCATGGGGGAGTAACAGTATGGGCTGTATGTTTTGGTTGACACCATTTTCATATCCAAAAGATGTTTTAGTGCACTGCAGGATCAACTTAATGCAGATCTATCAAATGTACATTCATTGTGTCTAAAAAATAAGCTAATAATTAATTCATCTAAGACTACATTTATGATATTTCATTCCTCAAAAATTCTGCCCAATCATTTCATTGCAATTTTTCAAAATGATGATGTAATTTTCAGATTAAGTCTACTAAATTTCTTGGTGTTGTTTTAGATGAGAATTCAAAGTTTCAGTGCCATGCTCATTTATTGAAAAAATCTCATTTGGCATTCACATTATCATAAAAGCTCATTCTTACTTTCATCAAAATACTCTCTCATGTCCTAATGTTATGCATACATACACAGTCATATCTCATATTGTTTTTCATTAAGGGATAATATTACATATGCCACACATCTTCATCACCTAGATATTTTGCAAAAGCAGGCATTATGATTAATTACATTTCAACTGCATACATCTCCCTCTGCTCCTATATTCAGTTTTCTAAATGTTTTGCCTCTATGTATATTCTTCAATCATAAGGTGGTACTAATAATGTTTTGTTTTATAAATACCTACCTCAATATTCCAGTTATTACTCGATCCAACCTCATTAATAGCAATATTACCAGATAATAAACAACTTAATCTACTTCTAAAAGTTAGATAGATTTACCATTGCATATTCAGGCATTTCACTGTGGAACTCATTACCATGGGATATCAAGTCATCTTCATTCTTATCATTCAAAATAAGAACTAAGGATCATTTCATGAACACTCTGTTGCACACATAGGATTTATCACATTTGTTTTTCCCCTACAGAACGTTTCCGAATGTACTGTTGGCAATTTTCAAGTGTTTGAATTTTGCTTATGTATGAATTTTGCTTATTTGATGCCTCTTCGCATTGCTCGTTGCACGTGCCATTTATTATTGTTTGAATTTATGTGTACTTTATTCCATTTTATTTTTTCAGTTTGTCTTTCATTGTGGTTATTATATAAATATTTTTATAAATAGTTTCCCCTTTGCTATTACGCACGTCATACTGTATAAAATGTATAACTCATCTGTTTGCCGAGAATATTGTAATCTCCATTTACTTTTGTTGGGAGGTCCCCCCAATAGTTTTAACTTCAAGACCTCTGAACGTATATTTTTAAAATAAAAATATATAAAAAATAATATGTGCCACAGGTGACTGACACTTACTATCTGTCCAGAAACGACTAAACACACGTGGGAAATTTTAACGCATGTGAAAAAACAAAAAAAAAACATGACAAGTCACATGTTATATTCATATGGTCTCACCGAGGCCGTGCTCTTGTGCGTTAAAAATATCAAAACGCTTTTTATACCTCACCAGATATAAAAGGATTTCTGTTTTTAAATAACTTATTTTAAAAGAAATGTAACACAACACTAGGTGCACTGTGCAAGATTCCCTCAAGGGCAAGACTTTTGGTAAATTCTTATGAAAGGCCTGCAATGATTGAAACCAGTCATTAATGTCATTGGCTAAGTGAAATGCAAAAGGGAACATTCTTTCACTCAATGTGCATTTTGAACATTGAAAGCTAATAATTTCATTTTCAGGCACCAGTTCTATAATTCTTGCTGTGTTCATTTCAACATTGAATACTACCCACACTCCAGTGTTACAGAAGGCAGTCGCAAAAATGTCGCAGGGCCCTTTTAAGAGCCATGATTTCCAGCTGCACCTGGCAGTACTAAACCTTGTTAAAGGTGGCATTTCATATTTTCGTACTTTAAAAACCTGACACCTGTGGCAGAATTTGGGGTAGATATGGTAACTGCTTTTGAGCATGAGGCCATGGGATAATATTTCAGCTGTGTTGTGATCATATTTTAATGACACTCGATTACAAAAACACTTGTGCACCAATATTTAAATGGCCAGAGCAAATCTGTCTTGGTGTTCGTCATGTTCAGTTTGTTCAATATGCTAAACGAGCAGCTAAATCCTGTTAAAAAAATGTTTTGCCCACTTCCGAAATGAAACTTAAAAACACCCATAGCCAGCTGTCAGTAATGGTTACCTTGGATAGCGTGCCCAGTTCTTAGTGTTCATTGTGAAATTCGATAGAATGGTTCATGAAAAAACTGTCCAATCTCTTAATACGGCAATACAGCCTTTTTCTCGTTAAGGTAGCTAGTGAAGATGTGAGTCACCCACAGAGCTGAAAGCCTACACTATAGTAGGAGAGCTCTGTGTTCTTGAACCAAATTAGTTTCTTAAACTTCTCAAGTGGTCACTTTTTTTTTGTGTGTCTCCTTGAGGCATCTGTATTGTTAAGGATGCTTGTCACATTGCTTTTTTTTTACAGGGGGTAGTCCTAATATATGCAATCAACAGCAAGGAGTCCTTCTTGCTGTTGGAGCAGCTGAAGAAGGACATTGACAAGCACAAAGACAAGAAGGAGGTAGCTTCTTTGTTTTTTATCTTGTGAATCGTGTATCATCCTTGTTAAGTCTTAAAACCTTTATTATTGCAGATATCTTTCTTAGTGCTTGGAAACAAAGCAGATCTGAGCGCAGAAAGGCAGGTTGAGACACAGTCAGCCATAAACTGGGCTACCAAGGAAAGAGGTGAGATTTTGATTCTTTTTATATTATAAAAAAAGCTTTACTCCATACCACTATGCTCCATACTAAAGCTTTGACAAGTTCCATTCATACGAAGATAAGGAAAGAGTTTTCAGCTGTACTTCTCATAAGCTATGCTGCTTTATTTAGTGGCTCATAGTAACAGTGCATATAATTCATTGAGAACACTGCTGTAACTATGCTGGAAGAGATACAAAAGGCAAATAAAAACTTTGGTTAGGGTGATATATTAATGCTTGACAGTGCCTTAAATGCCAACACTTAATCAAGAACAGCACTACAGTAATCAATGTAAATGGTAAAAGCAGGACACAGCTTTGGACCAGGACAGTCTAGAACTAGCTGAGTATTATAGCACATCCTTTGTAAAATTGTTCGCTAGTGCAGTAGGCTCGTTGAACGAAACCTGAAAGGGCCAGGAAAATATGTTCCATTTAAAAAGAGTTACGTTTACTGAGGGATGCACAATACAAGTATGAAACCAGTCATATCAGAGGCAGCTGTTCTATTTAAGCAGCAGTTCTGTTTAATAGATTTTCGTTTACTGAGAGTCTACTGTACTTAGCCATTATATTGCAAAAACAATTGCTGTGCATTTGAAAATGGAATAACATTTTGGTCATGCAGTTCGGTTTGATCTCAGGAAAAATTAACTTTTTGACATAATTTTATAGTTGGTTATAACATAAGAAAAAATGCGTGCCACGGTTTCGCCCACAGAACCAAGGCACCCTTATCATTCAGACTGTAACTACATTTTATTGGCCAATGTAAATGCTGTGCATATTGGTAATTAAAGGTTCACTGTCACAACCTAATGTATGATCATTGGCTGAGCAGTGATGTCAGACTTCTCTGTTAAAATTTATTAGACATTGATATCAATAACCTAAAACCAGTGACACAGGCATGTGTTCTTATGGGCAAGTGGCAAGACAGCTATGATAAACATGTTTTGTATTATAAGTGCTTGACATCACAGAAACAAGAAAGCATGATTAGATGTAGTATTTTTGCGAATTTCTTGTGGGAGGGACAGGCAGTGTGGCTACGAGTGCACCTTCTGTTATTTATACTTGCGTTGTAACTACAAATTTATGCTTGGCTCTGTGCTGTCTTTCCTTTCTTACACTACTCACTCTAACTTGACTGAGAGACATTGCCATCTTCATTTGATGTCTTCAGCTCAGTTTGTGGCTGCACTTTTCTGTTTCTTGTTGGGCAGCAAAACAGCTGTGTTAACTCAGTGTCGTAACTTCTCACTCGGCTATGGTTCACTTGGATTGCACTAGTGGTGTGTGAACCTTCAAGCACCATTGTTTTTCACATGAAACAAATGCTGCATAGTTTCTGGAATGTTATTTTAACAGTCCGGATCCACTTAACGTGTGGTGTCTACAATTATCTTTAAAACTACTATAATTTTATTTTAGTGATAGCCACAAATGTCATGCACAGCCAGACTACACCAGTGCATGCTACATTTTGTTTTGCTTCCTAGTTGTTTTGTTACATTTTGTTTTGCTTCTTGGACCTTACTGTCTGCAAGTGCCATCATAATCCAGTATGCTGCTGTTAAATAACACGCAGTTTACCTAGTAGAATTGAAAAGGGTAATATAGGAAGGTGGCGTAACATAAGACAAAGACAGAGACGAGGGAACAAGTACAAAAGCACTTGTACTTGTTCCCTCGTCTTTGTCCTGTGTTGCAACACCTACCTGTATTATAACAATGCACCAACAAGCCCAGCAACAAGTTTTATTATGCAGTGGGTAACTTTGCCACCAGAAGCTTAGTACTTCACTCGTGAAACTAGGCTGATCATATCTTTACCAGTCAACATAAAATAATGCACACTGATGATGTTTAATTTTTGGTTAAGTTATGGAAACTGCAAAAAACACACTCTTGCCCCTTTTTAAACTGAAATGGTTGTCGGCATGTTAATTTCCCAAATATATTGCCACTTGGTGTGCACAATTTGTACTAAAAGCGATGGAACAAAGGTGAGTGTTCAGAAAGCAATGAAGGATAAAGGAGACAATTGTAGGCAGTGAGCTCATTTGATTGTCGGACACCTTTTTTTTCTGAGATGCTCTTTCTACCTTACTACCTGAATTGCATATGTGCAAGACGTACCTCCTTCAATCAACAATATTTTCTACCCTTTCATTGTAGTGGCCACCTGGCTTTTGAAGGCAGTGTTAATCTTTGACATCTGGATTCAGAATTTTAGCAGTTGCCAATGGAAGTCTGCCAAAGTGATTTGCTTTTTTTAATCTAAACTATCTTCTAGGGAATGGCAGGATCGTGTATTTACAGCTTGGTCAAAAACACCATTTGTGCTGAAGTAGTCATCTTGGAACTCCAATAGCTTACACTCTGTAGTAATGAAGTAAATACGGCATTCTGTGTTAGAGCAACAGGTCATGGGTTTGGTTCCCCGTTATGGTGGCTGTATTTTGATGTGGGATGTATAATGAAAAAAAAAAACCACTTGTATTGAAGCCTAGGTGTGCGTAAAGGAAACTAAGGTACCGAAATTTAATTGCTTCTCCCCCATCCTTGTGTTTCCAAAGCCCCAGTATTGCTTTGGGAAATACAGCCTGATGAATTACTGTAAAGCTTTATTAATTTGAACTCGGTTATGTCGAAAGTCAGCGGTCCTGTATTTTGCAATGCAAGTTTGAGCGGATAATTTGAAGCAGCGGTCAGCACCAGTCCAGTTAATTCAAAAACTTTAGGTGCAGGGGGGTGTACCGATTCTCGATCCCGATTCAGCCACAAAACCGCATAAACGACAGCCCTTAAGAGTCGCTAGGCAATTTACTATAGTGATACTAATGAGTGGCAGCTGAAGCACCCCAGCATAAATACTTCCAGCACGAAAAATAAAATAGTGATGAAACGGTTGTGTGATCAGCTGAAAGTATAATGAAATGTGCACCTGTGGAAAACAAGATTTGCTTCACTGCAAGATAGCGGTGATGCACGGGCAGCATGTTGCATAGTTCTCGCATTTCATCGTGTCATGATTTACTCATTCTTTCTGGGAATATAAAGCAATTGATAAAGGACAGTCTGGTGGAATTCGCGATGTATGCGAACCTCCAAGTGCCGGTTGCTCCAGCAATTTGCACACTTGCACTGCTGGCAGAGTTTTTGCCTGCAATGCCTACTTTAAAAACTTGGTTTGAAAGCTTCAGTGGTCATGTTTTCCAGGCAAAACATGGTGAATTTCGTCTCACTGTCCATTATTAAATTCTTTATACTACTAGAAAGTATGGGCGAAGGGTCGCATCTTGACCTGCTGCTGCAGCGAGGAGCAAGTGATATGCTGCCCGCGTATCACTACTGTCTTGCAGTGAAGATGTCTTATTTTTTGCAGGTGCACATTTCAGTTGTTCATGACATTTTATTTATTTTTTTTGATGGCAGAAGTGAGACCCGCCATTCCCCCATGTTTGCAGCAAAATTGTAACTGGGTATTACTACTGTAAAACTAAATCCTTGTAGCCGTAAACTAGCTGGCACAGGAAACGACCAGTCCTGATTACTTTGAATAACATTAAGTTTTTTGCATCCCACTTTTTGCATGTTTCATTACTTTGAAAACCTGCTTAATTCGAAGATTTCTCACGGTTTCAGTGACGTCAAATTAACATGGTTTTACTGTGTTACATTTAGCCCTAGAGGCCACTGCATTGACACCCTGTTAAATATACATTTTATTGCACAGTCAAGCACTATATCTAGTGAAGTTTTATCATCATGGACACCCTCTTCTTTTTGCCTCCCACAGCGTGCTTTTTTTTAGTCTTACATAGATGTGAAACTTCATTGTTATTTAAATAAAATACTAGGCTGCACTTATTTTGAGAATTTATGCTTGTATACTTACTGTTTTGACTTGACAGCGTGGATTTATGCCAACAAGGTTCCCGCTCGGCAGGACCTGAAACAATGTACACTGGAACTTTGAGTTACTATATGCTTTGAACTTTATTTGCAAAGCATGATTGGCACAAAAAGCTTGTTTAAGGGGATATGCAATTAAAAAAAGGTTGCTTTAATTTGTAATCTAGGACAATGAATGTTTTGTTGTATCTATAGGCTTTTATGCTGATTTCAAATATGTAATTATTTTTATTCTAAGTTGCACAGTTTTAGTTATGCCATGACAATATATAATGTATAGTTGGTCCTGGACAAACTTTTTGCCACTAAATGTTTATGATTCTCATTCATTATTGGCTCCTCATATTGCTCTACATTAACTGTAGAATGCAAATAACTGTCAAGAAAGTGCATGTAAGACATTTCAATGTACGAGAAAAATTGTAATGTGAAAATGCTCAGAATTAACAACCCATACTAATTGTTCACTTTATTTGCACAATAATTATACAGGTTATATAAAGTTTTAAAGAAGATACTTGCACCTATCACAAGTTGAGGAATATGTGGGCAAAATTTTATTACGATCAGGATATCAGAACTACCAAAAACATTATGTCTAAACTCTAGAAGTTGCCCAAAAATTAATCTTGAGGAAGACGCATTTTAAAGGTATAAGTGAAGGCTCATCTATGCAGAAAAGATATGTTTTTTAAGGTGGTCTCTTTCATCATGAGAGCTTGGCAATCATGGTTATTTTGAGCATATGGCTTTAGTGAACTTCTCAAGCGAAATGCCATAGCAAATAGCCAGGTGACAATTTCTAGGACTCTCAACAATGTGCTCTTTTAGTTTTAGTAGCCACCTTGTGCTTTTTAAAGGCAATTTTAGCCTACATCTAGTTTAATTGCGATCTTCAAAACAGTTTTTGTTTTATATAGTAAAAGTAGAGAAACTGTACTCGTCAAAGCAAACAAAAACAAAAAATATGTAATTTTAGGAAAAAGTTGGGGTTTTCGATTTGAATCTCCCCTTTTAATATGTGTACAGGATATACCTGTAAAAACATTTTCTGAACTGAAG